ATTGATTTCACAGGAAGAGCGCATTTCGTCTAAAAAAGTTAGATCACATGTGGCTTTTCTATCATTGCATGTACCATAACATTGATCATGATTATTACAGAATGGAGTAAATTTCAGTGCGTTTCCTAGGGGATTGATCAACCAGTTGAAAAGCGAAATCAATCCACTCTCTGCTCCGCATCCATTGATTCTGGGTTCCTTAACTTGCGTAGATAGTTCATGCTGAAGTCCGCAATAACAAACACCATCTTGACAAATCAATGAATCAAATAGGCATTCAATGAAGTAATACCACGCCGTACCACTTTCACCTGCACAATTCGGAATCACATTGATTCGCAAACTACTTTCATCACCGTTTAACTGTATGTTTGTAGTGCGTACTCCATTCGTACCCACACATGTTGTGGTAAATACTTGCTGATCATTGTAATAGACATCTATCCGATCTTTTATTTCATACGTTTCATAGTGAAATTTGATTAAAATATGTCCTTTACGAATATCGATAATTCGGTCATCTGGCATGTTATTTCCTCCTACAATTTGCTGGTTGCATCTTCCTCTTACAACGTCAACGTCAAGTGAGAATGTTGTCAGCACATTCGGATTCATATAATTTTCTGTATCGACACTCGATGACAGTGCTTTTGCACTGACATTACTTGTGCTATTCAGAGGTATTATAATCGGTTGTTGACCAGAAATCCAAATGACAACTTTGAAATGGCTTAACTGACCAGATGATTTAGGTTGTAGAATAATGTCAGAAGAATAATTCGAAGCCTTACTAAGACTTTGAGGAATTGTGACAGACATTTCTTCTTGAATTTTAGAACAAAACGGCGTTGCCAATTTTGGAGCTTTCGAACATATATCGGATATCGGATAGCTTCGTATTAACTCTGAGAGAGCATTACTTTGCTGGAAAGTTGTTTTGAACAGGTTTTTAGAATCAAAATACTTATCTATAGATGTATCATTGGTGGGAAGTGACGAGTAATAACGTCCACCACCGACATTAATCATTACAGTTGTTTGATTACCAAGTTGTTCATCATAATAGTTCATTTGGACAGCTGCATCCTCGATCGAGAGGCCTGAATCTTTTTCATTAAGTTCTATTAAGATTCCAGTAAAAAGATCTAGTATATCCATGCTAACAGACAGATTAAATACTGGTTTCGGAAAAGTAATATTGGGTGTTTTGTAAGAGAATGGTATTTCATAAGAACTGTTCTCCGAAGTAATAACGGCCAGATATTGATTCACTGTGTTGTTATAGATAAAAGTAAGAGTCTGATTATCTGATTGTATCTGAACAATACGGCCACTTTTAATTGTATATATGTTGTAGGCAGTTTGAATGGCATTTACTGATTGAACATTTCCGGCATAGTCCTTCGAACCAAATATCTTCACATCATTGATACTCATAATTTGATTACTTTTAACGTCCGAATTGAGAGCGATTTTAGACAAGTCTGGCATCGTACTAGGACCTAAGGAAAATCAATGATAGCTTTTTTCGTATTGTACTCCATTTCAATGGCTTTGTGAAAAATATGAATCAAAAGTATAAAACAGCCTTCAAATCTTTTACTGGTAATGTGTAATTCAAGGAAAAGTATTGCTTTTTCTCATAATAAAACTAGTGGTATAATGGTAAAGTTAACACGATACTTTGAATCATCAAATTTTTATTTTCTTAATGGGTTTCATTTACGTGATCTATAGTTGTTTTCAGCAAAGAGTTTAATGGTGCATCAACTGTAAACATTCAATATTCGCTTTGTTTGGATAAATGGGACTCTGAACTCAAATTACAGTGCTTTGGAAATCATACGCACAATAATTATATTTCAAGACAGTTATTCAATGATGTTCACAAGCTCAACAAGAAACTTGGCATAAAAATAAATCTGATTGAGAGTCTTTTTGAATTATGCAGGGCATGAATAGTAAAGATTTGACAATGTAGACATATGCGCAGAAAGTAAGATATCTATTTATGATCGAGTGTTGTGCAGAACTATTGTTGATAGACATATGCGGTCTTGCGCACGTTGAAACTACTTCGAGTACAAAATTTTTGAGGTTTTGATGTCTACTCTCATGAGTATATTCTTCAGGATAGATCGACATAACTGTTTCATTAAGTAATAACTCGAAAATTTCGGAGCAAAAAATATGGGAACATTGTATTACTAATAGCGGTGCTGTTGGATTATGTGAACTTCAAATTAATTTGTCCATAGTATAGTCTGCAATTTTTAATAGTAGAATAAGAATGAAACTGTAATGAGTCCCTTCCTCGAATGCAGGAAGAATCATATGAAAAAACTGAGTTTATTTCTTTGTTTGTGTGTTTGTGTCAAGATCAAAGCTCAAAGGCAAAAATAACATGATCCGAGATGAATACATCTGAATTTCAGGGAATCGAATTTTTCATATCAGAACGTAAGCCAATCAAAGACTTTTGTTTTCAGCTTTCAACTAATCAGATTTCTCAGGCTTTAGGTAAAGATTGATGAAAGTAAATAGCGGTCAAGAAATCCGATTCTGAGGTCTCCGTTTACTAAAAGCTTGACTTCAACTTTTTGGGTAAAGGAAAGGGTTTCTCGAGAAAACAATATTTTCTTGAGTGTAAGAAGAGTTATATGGAATAAAATAAATTTTTGTCTGTTTTTATCAGAGTGAAAAGTGAAACATTAGAAAAAACACGTTGGCTAAGTGTTCGACGCTCATGTTTTTAATATTGGGCTTTCAATCAATTCGATTTTTGAGACTGAAAATTCAGTCAATCCGATGTATGTGATTAATTCTTTCTTAGTCAGCTGTTTCATGATTGGGCTTTCATGAAAGAAGCTTCTTGCTTATAAACGTAAGACTTTTAGTATCAAGTTTCTTAATTACTGTATGAACATATATTACCAACAAAAGTAAGGTTATTTCATTATGTTATTAGTGTGTAACCGTGTAACATTTATTATGCTGCTGATATTTATTAGCTAAAGTGCCCTTGGATCAAGAATTGCTATTTTTTACAATCTCTTGCTGAAAAATAAACCTTGCCCTATACAATTTTACAAAAAGATCGACTGGTTTCTTTCATCTTTACGATTCAAGAAATCGAAATTTGAGTCAGCTATTATGAGAAAGCGGGTAGATCAATTGTTTCGATATCCACATGTGAAATATACTTCTGTTTTATACAGTCGATAGTGAAGTAAGTCGAACCGACGAACGTTACTTGTTATAGCTATGCATGGATGGCCTAAAATATTGACATTGTCTATGACCTGGCCAGTTGCAGCTTACGTTGTTCCTATGAAGTATATTGTTCCTATTTTCAACGTCTTTTAATTTGAGTGAAATACTAAAAGCTTATTCTTTTCGCTATCGAATGATATAAAATAATATTATAAAATATTCTTCGTCCACTGTTTTCTTGAGATGACCTTGTACACTACTAGGTAATATTTTATGAGTATTCATGAGAAAATTCCATTTTATGGTACATAGTAGTCTACAAGGTTACTTAAAGAAAACAACGACTGAAGAGTATTTTATAATACTATTGTAACGAAAAATAATAATAGAAATGCTTAAGCCTAAGTCAGTCATAGGCGCATATGTCAATATATAAATAGAATTGAATGATGCATAGCAAATATAACACTACACCTTTAGTGATTTATTCGAGAGATAAGATATGGATGTACAGTATATTATATAGACGAAACAGAGCACACTATAAACATGTACGTGTATAGAAACTGTAGTCTTAAGATCCTTGACTTGACTAAATTTCGTTACTAGTTCGCCAATCTGCCCGTTCAACAAATAATTGTTACTGTCTGTTTCAGACTGTAACTGTTCAAGAAAATGACTTTAACTCAACTGACTTCTTTTTATTTTAGAGACATCCAAATATAGAGAGAAAAAGGGAGAGAGAAATAAATGGAAGAGAAAGAGAAGGTGGAAAAGGAGCGGAGAGAACAAGCTACTCGATACTCGAGCGAGAACAGGGGATGTCATACAAAAGGGCGTCCGTCGTCTTACATAATATCGATGGGCGTGATCAGATGAGACGACGTGCTATTTAGCACAACTATTTTATATAATTCGATTGCGAAAAGAAGAGGCTTTTGTTTGGCATTTAATTCAAATTAAAAGACATTGACAAAGGAGTCAATATACCTCATAGGAATACTCCATACCACAATTGACCAGGTAATAGACAATATCAATGTTTTAGGTCATCCGTGCATAGCTATAACTAAGACCAACTTGCTAATTCGAACATTAATTGACTTTTGATATCTCAATGGACTATTTGGAAAATGTAAAACTCAATTTCGAGAGGGGACCGCTTTCACGGCTGAACGCCTCCAATCCTTTATTTTTCTTTTTAAATAAAGATTTGCGAAAAACGCCGCAATTTTCCAAGCAAATATCATCGGATTGATTCATCTCTCTGCAAAACAGTTTTATTTCGACAGTAATGATTATGCTTTTCTACTCCTTCACTATGTCACAAGAACAGAAAGTAATATATGATCTGTCTAATCAAGATCCAATATACGGCTCTCCAACCTTATAAGAAAATTGGCTTCAAGAAAACTTTTTAAGAATTTAGACTCAAAAGACTGTACTCATTTTTTAACGATGCCACAGAACACTCACCTTCACACTCGGTTATTAATGAATATCGTTGCACCCGGTTGTTACCAGTATCTATGGCAAATAAATAGGTATTGTCGGGCGACAACCAAAGATCATAAACTGAACTAGTTTGATTGGATAAATTTCCATAGGTCGAAATAATAGTTGTGATAGTCTGTGTTGCGACATTCCATTTAACAATAGAAGAAACAGTTCCGATATAAATATTTCCCAAGGAATCTAATGTTAGTGATACCGGATAAATCCAAAGAGAAGCAGGAATAACAGTTATGCCATTTGAAGCACCTGATGGCCACATCTAAATAGTTTTTCTAAAGTTGTCTTTTAATTTTATTATATTGTAATCCGTCAAGTGAGAATTCTCTAGGATTATGAATCATGTATTCAAATTGACTTAGGCTGGGACATATTTCAATGCAAAAAACTAAAGCGAAATGATAAAAACTCACTTGAACTCGTTGATTTCCTGAATCAACTACAAAAACAGTAAACTGTGAATCTACTGCTATGCCGTTGATGTAGCTTGATAATTGATCAGGTCTATTACCAGCTCCGTTACCACCTGCTACAACTTGTCCACTCAGAGCACCTGGTGCCCATTTTACGACTGAGGAATTTATACTCTCCGATATGTAAATATTCGATAAACTATCTACAGTCAAAGCACACGATAATGAACAAAACAGCTGACTGAGTGCAGCTTCAGCACCTTTTCCACCAGCAACAATAGTTGTCGTGTTCGTACCAATGATCCATTTCAAAACTTGATTGTTACGTAAATCCATAATGTAGAGATATTTTTCACTTTGATCAATATGTAAACTCCTAATTAAAGTCATGTTACCCATTCCACTATCAATACCATTTGGTGGCCATACGGTTTTACCTATAATGTATTTTCACAAAAAGTTTCATCAATTAGAAAAGAAGGTCTATCCTTTTCCACAGAAATATTAAAGAGTGCATAACACAGTCTCACCCAGACTGCATGACCTGACTATCTATATATGCCAGGCACAGGTCATGTTTTTTAGATTTTTTCTATCAAAGGTAGTCCATTTAAATGTAAAATTTTAACTTTTTCAGATTGGGTTTTTTATAGAAAATCAGATTGCGAGAGTTAATTTTCAACGATGACAGTCAAATATGATAAAGTATATGAACACTTGAGTATTAATATTGGAAAGAAAACAATAAAATTCACTGTCATTTCGATTATGTCAGTATCAGAAAAGAAGACTTATTATAGTTACTAAAATTGATCTTCTAGCAACATTTATCTTCTTTCTATGGAAAATTCTTAGAAAATGGAATCGAAAATGGTCATTCATGTAATCAGCCTTATTGCTTATCCCGTGTTCCGGTCGTTTGAAATACCTAATAATCTCTATACATATTAAGTTCGATCTTTGATAAGAATCAGATCTATTTAGTTATTGTTATACTTAGTGCCGCAGCCAGGATATTAAACTGGAGGAATCTAGGGAAGAAAGAGTTCAGCTCCTCCCTCCTCTTATAGACACATGAATCTCCTGACGAATGAAAAGCATTCTTCAAAAATTTCTCTGGGTGTGGTCAAGACCTGCACTACCCCGTGGCTTTACTACAATTTATAATGGTGGATCACATGAGTGTTAAAATATTTTTATATGAAATTTATTGCTCTAGAAATCTTTCTGAATCAATCTTTATATGCCGACGAAGTTTATGTGAATATCAAAACGCTTTCAAATAGCCAATATGTACCATATGTTAAAATAGTTTCATCAAGAGACATTTGTCTAATATTGCACAACTACACTAGAACAGATAATCATGTCTATGAAAAACATCTATATATCGCTTTACTAAGAAAAATATAATTTATTTTTAAATTAACTTATAGTTTTTCTTATCAAAATCTATTGCACTTTATTGCAAAACATTCACTGTTACGCTTCAAGAACAATTTCTCTATCTTATCAATAATGCACCGATCTTCTCGATATTTGTAAAGATTTTCTAGCATTCATTTTGGAACTCTATCTAATTCATCCAATGCTGACCCGTTTTTGTTTGCTACAGGTTTCGTAATTGTTGCATACAGTGTCTCTTTTGCATGCATTAATCCTTTGAGTAGACATGACGTAAATTCATGCCTTCTAAATGGCTTCTATAAATATAGTCTATGAATTATTTTAACAAGCAACTGTAATATGATTGAACAAGTTAGTACATAGATCAATTTCAAATCATTTATAAGCAAGAAACTTGAGGAACAAGATGGTTTCTTGTGTAGTTTCGTGCTCTGATTTTATGGTCTATCTCCTGCTTTCTTCAATATATTCTTTCAGAACCTGTCGACTAAAGACTCACTCACTTTCTAGTAGTTATATATGAATAATAATATAAAACTATTTTATTCTTCTTGTTGATAAAATGCGATTTCTTTCGAGTTGGTCTGTATTTATTTTCCATTTCTTGTTCGAGAAATATGATTGCATATAACTGAATGACAAAGAAGAAAAGTAACGAACACATAATTAATTTATAATTTGACAATAAGTTCGAGAGCAGCTGATATGAAATTTTTAAAATTTTCATTTCTTCAAAATAATAAGAATGCTTATAGGATTAGTAAGGGAGTTATCTTGTTTATTAAATTCTTTTAAAATGTTTATAAAAAAAAAAAAGATGAGTCCTTTTCCGTCAGTAGAAACGAATCTCTATGCCTTTAATTTCCAATAAATCTACACTTTTCAATGTATATTAAATGTCAGGTGAAAATTTACACTTTCGCTACCTTAACAATAGCAGTATTTCAATAATAATGAAGAAACTATACACATGTTGAATGCTTCTATTTAAAATAGATCGCTATTGTGAGAAATCGTCTGATAATGAAACGTGGGTACTTTTCCCTCAATTATATTCTATAATGTTAATTTTTTCCTCTTCATATTCTTATGTCTTAGAATGAGGATGTAAAAACAAGAAAGAATAGTTCCATATAGCCGGTATTTTTTACTACTTTATTTCATGTTCTTATTAGAAATGTCTGATTTGGATTATGTTTAAAATCATTGGGTTGATGTGCTCAACTTCATATAAAGATAAACAATCGAACAGATATTTCTATTATAATGATATTAAAGGAGATGAAAAGTAGAGGGCTAGAGAATTGAGTCATATCTGCAAAATTTAGATCTATTTCAGCCTCTGATACATATTTATTCACCAGATAGTGAACTCAAGAAATTATGAAAATTGATCATTTCAGATTTATATGTTAAGACAACTCTTTTCATAGTTTATAATCTGATGAAGAAAAAAAACTGTTTCTGACGTTCATGTTTAGGGAAATATTCTAGTAAAAGATATGTTACATTTTACATTCGAAACGTTCAAATTATTTTTCGACTATTTTTTGCACAATTATGTAGGTTTTAAATTAAATTTTAAGTATAGTGTGATAACGTATTAGGATCATATTAGGAAATAGTCATTGAAAATTAAAGGAACGAATAGCATTTCACTTACCCTGTGTTGCATTCGGTTTCCACAGCTGAATTCGGAAGTTGTAGGCATCTGCGACGTAAATATCATTTGATGACGTCACTGCAATGCTAAGTGGTAAGTTTAATTGATTGGCAGCTGATCCTTGTCCGTTTCCTCCAGCAACCGTTACTCCATTTACGTTCCATACAGAACATGCACTTCCACTGCTCGCTGTAGCTAGAACAATACTTTGCTTTATATCAACATTTTTTCTTCACTTTAATTTTCTAATATTAGAATTCAAAGCAAAAACGTCTGAGAGAAAGACAATGAACAAATAGACTGTTAGAACAATTACAGTTGCAATACAACTAATCCTCTTCTAATACATTCAGTCTTTTTCTTTCTTTTATTTTTTCCTTTCGTCCAACTGTTTCGTATACGAGACTAGCAATACTCAAAGAAAAGAATCACCTATAATATTGGTGTGCTCAAATGAAAGAATAGAAAGAAGAAGAGTGAATCAAAACGAATAAAAATCGTACATGTAAAATATTTTGTTATTGCCAGGAAGAGAACAACCGCTCACTTTCCGATATTTCTTGAGAACAATTCGGCAAAAGTCTTTGAAAAATCTAAGGTTAATATATAGATCTCGCTAATGAGAACAAAAGTTTTCATAGATTCAATCAAACTGGTATAGTTATTTTTTTTTGGGCTGAGATTTTTTCTGTAGCAGCTAGAAGTAAATCCGGATGTGTCTTTTCTTTTGTTTCTTTGAGAAGTATTGTTCCTGTAGCACCGAAGAAGCGCCACATTGAACATACTGAAAGAACCATTAAAAGAAAGATTCTTTTTCGGTGGTGGTAATTTTGTAAAATCAAGAAATCTTCATCGATATAGTACTTCTAAAAACCAAAGAGAGACACACCTTGATTTGATCGAGTTATCTATATGAAAAGTTTGAAATCAGGCGGTCGTATAGTTTAGTAGAAAAAGAAGGAAAACTTCATTTTCCCATTCGAAAATCTGCTTTTTAGAAGAGTGCGAAGCAAATCGTACTTTTTAACTTCTTTAGCATAAAATTCAGCTTTTTTTTCGAGTTCTTGAGAGGTACAAAAGTTATTTACTCTTCTAAAAATGTGCTCAATAGATAGAATGCATCTACATACCAAGCACAAAAGATAAAAAATGAAAATTTTAGGTTTGAAAAAGGAGTGAGATGTCCCCTTAATTATCTTGAAAGAATAAACAAAAATAATTCATGTTTGTAATCAGTTAAATATATGTCAAACAGACTATTCGCGCAAGAGTATTTCAGTTTTCTTCTATCATGCAGTAACGGTCGCTTTATACAGCATGAGATTCACTCCTAACATGTCACTGTACCACATCTTAGCTATTAAAGGAAATAGAGTTAGCCTCTTACTCTATTGCGTTTGAATCGTGTTCAAAAATGGGACCACAGAGTTTAGCAGTAGCTGCCTTTTTAAATGTTGATGTTGTATATCGAACAATGATTGAATTTTTCTCTAACACTATAGTGTTTTAGAAATTCTTTGCTTTACTGACTCATCAAAGTATGCATAGTTTCAGATAATAGTAAATCTATTCTGTACTGATGTGGTCTAAAATCAAGCGAATCGGCACTCAATTAATTTGATTTACTATTTTAAAAAATAGGATAGGTGAATCTTACTACAACCACTTTTAAGAATAAAAAGAGAGAGAACAAGAATTTTTAATCTCATTTTCCGTATGACGTTGAGGCTTATCGTTGAATTTTCTTATTTCTCTTATGGTTGATTATGTCTTAGCAATTCTCCATCCTGGCGCTTGATTATAATTTTCTTTACATGATGTCGCAAGCATCACAGAGAAAATGCAACTAATGACAAATATCTCTTCATGCTCCATTGTAATAGATAGTTCAAACTGTGATGAAATAACTGATCTCTCTATAATATCTGATTCACACAAAAACAAGTCGTAAGCTTACAGAGAAGGTTCATGTAGCCGTCTATGGATCGAAATACTCGTTAAAATGTAGATCGTTGATTTAATTTTCTCATTCCATTTGGCGATATCTAAAACGTCCAAATCTAAATTTTACTGTCGAGTACTCACGAGACTATTTCACCAATATTGTCAGAAATCATCAATATAAAGATAATTTATTCTGAATGACAGTCACTTAACGCAATTTTTATTGTAATGTATCAATAGATAGAACATAAAAAGTCCAACAAGATGATATATTTACACTATTCTTTTTCAATGTACTGAACTCATTTTATTAGTTAAATACGGTGAATGATTGATTATTGTTGAAAAAGTACGGCAATATTCTCATATTCTCAGCTGCAATTCAATCACTTTACAAAAACCTAGAGTGAACTTAACATGTAGTGTATCACTTTCTCTCCTCTATAAAACAATTTAAAAAGTTTAAAAGATTTTTCTCATTTAGGCGAAAATTTGCTCACAATTATGGTCGACTAGATAGAATTTTTAATAAAAGAACAATTTCGAGTATTTTTTTTTTGATAAAACATAGGATCCCGAGTTATTCATGAAGTATCAAGAGTACTTTTTACATAGGTAAGACATATTCAGCCGAATACATGCCGATATAAACCAACAAAATAAAAAAATATTATAATTTATGAACGTAAAATTCGTTAGCTAATTTGATTTTGTCATAATTACATGTGAGAATATCTTTGAATTCCGTAAAGAGTCAATTTAACGGATTTTTTCTTTTCTTTTTACTTGAGTTTACTGTCTGATCAAAAGCAATACAATAGATACACTAGTGAAAAGAAAACTCGAAAACAAAAAAAAAAAAAGAAAATCTTGCACATACGTAAGCTCGAGTTGTTTTTCTTTTTGCATTGATTCATAAACTATTTAATCGTTTTATAGCTATACTTGTTTATATGAGTGAAGAGCACGCCGATTTTATTCTTTGGGAAAAAATAATCGAAAAAAAAGTTTCCTAATAGAAGAAAACGAAGTGCTGTGTTTGATAGAGCGATGTCGAATGTTTATAAGAAAATATTTTTCCAACATCTCCCTTGATGTACTGGTCATTCATTATATTACAGCCAATTTCTGTATATTTTATTCATTCATTTAACAGTCATAGTGTTTATATTGGAGTTGACTTTAAAATATTATCAAGCCAACTAATAGTATTTTAATGTCAACTAAATTTTAGAAGTAACTTCGATATTTATGATTACTCCCGATAAAATCACTAAATATTTTGTTAGTGAAACTATTTTACTTGTTAAAATATTTTTCCTCGTATTTCTCTTTGATACTCAATCAAGTTTCTCTAAATTAAATTTCTTTAAACGAACCTCCGACAATTTCAGTCTCGATCTACGCAAAATGAAGTATCTTAACGTCTATTATTGATAGCTTTTTATTCATAAAACTTTGCCTAGAGCTAAAACCAAAGATATTCTCTGAAAGCTCTCGACGAGTTCTACAAGCCTAGCTGCAAAAAAACAACTAAAGAAATCTCAATCCAATAAAATGAATTGGTTTCCTTCTGTCAAATGAGCAGTTACTTTGAATCTTCTGTAATTATATGAATGCCTAATTCATTTAGTTGTGGTATATAAACATTACACCAACATATCGATTTAATTCTGAAAAAATAGAAAAAATCGAACTCTTTTTATTCTTCTCTCGGTCTGATCACGGGTTGTTTAATCGACACTGATTTTGCTCTACCTTTACTATGATCATGAAAGAATATAAGATTAAGCCTTAAACTTTACGTACCACAGTATGTGACACATAGCCATTTTTTTTGAATTTTTCGAAAGCATATATTTACTGACAAAAACTTGTGACAGTGCCAAGAATGCTCAACTTACTGAATATCTCAGCAAGGCTGATTTTTATTTATGAAAGCTGTTAGCGCAATCCCTTGCGGGATAAAAAATGTGAAACACGATGTAGCTGTTATAGCCAATGTTCTAAAAACTGTTGTTTTTTATGCATACTGATGTACGTTTCTTCATAATGGCTTACCTTGCATTATATACTTTCAACAGGATAATATTCTATAGATGCTTCAATGATATATTAGTTATGTATCATATCTGATACTTCTTTGAAGTCCTCTGTCAGTCTATAATGACTTCTGAGTCTTGTCTGTCACGGTCTGTAATTGGTCATGTGGGTGTCTGTCACGGTCTGTGGGGGGGAGAGGGTGGTGGGTCCAAATTTCTACCCTTAAACACTTCAACACTCCTTTCAGATCGTGTTTCACAATAATCCTTACTGCGTTTTCCCTATGAATACCGTATATTGAGCCAACATTTGCAGCCAATCTTTGCCCCAATGAGAAACTTTATTATTTTGTAGAGAAAGTGATATAGTACATGTTAAGTTCACTCTAGGCTTTCGTAAAGTGATTGAATAGTAGCTGAGAATATGAAAATATCGTCGCACTTTTTCAACAATAATCAATCATTCACCGTATTTATCTAATAATATGAGTTTAGCATATAGAAAAAGAATAGTGTAAATATATCATCTTGTTGAGCTTTTTGTTCTATCTATTGATGCATTACAATAAAAATCGTGTTAAGCGACTGTCTTTCCTACGATTCGAGAGGAAAGCCAGAATTCATGATTTTTATATATAATGTAATATTAAGTAACGACTATCTTCTAAAGAAACAAGAGAAAAAGCATCTCTGTTTTTCTACTTCGGAAATCAAGATACATAAGTATCCGAATACTTTTTAAACTACCTGTTAATATGACCAATGAGCCGGGTACAAGAGATTCGTCTCCATTGTATCTATGCTTCAAAGTAAAGATTACCTCGAAAAATTATGGAAAATATAATTTTGCACAAACGAAATCTCTCGTTAGAAGCTCGGCTCCTTTCAGAAAGTTTCTAGCTACGTGTTTGATTAGAGAAATCGTCCATGTGACATTTTGAAGAGTCGAAATATGGAGGCAGCATCAGAATATAAATTACATGGAGTAATAGATATAAACGTTCGTGTATTCTCATAAAGTTACACTAACAAGTTGCTTACTAACCTATCATTGTCATTGTTGTTGTTGTAGTTTTGGTGGTAGTGGATGGTGTTGTAGTTTTCGTGGTAGTTGATGTTGTTGTAGTTTTGGTGGTAGTGGATGATGTTCTAGTTTTCGTGGTAGTTGATGTTGTTGTAGTCTTGGTGGTGATTGATGTTGTTGTAGTTTTGGTGGTTGCTGACGTTGCTCTGTTTTTGGTAGTGGTTGATGTAGTTGTAGTCTTGGTAGTTGTTGTTGTAGTCACTGGTGCTGCCACCTTCATCATGTAGGTGTTCATGCGAGTAAAGGTCACTGCTGCTGGATCAGTCACTAGAACCGAAAATGTTCCTGTCACCACTGCGCTATATGCCGTAATCATCAGAAAACAAGTATGACTAGACCAAAGAGCGTGTGCAGTGTGGATGTAGGTGCGTTGTTCGTCCTCTTCATCCGATCCCCACACCTACCATAGTCCCTATGCTGCCGCCGACCAGAGCCGAGATAGCTAGCAGGACATAGCAGGAAATGAAACCTTGCCCTGTGCTCATCTCTGGTTTGAGCCCGATTAATTTTAATTATTATGAATATGCATATATTTTAAGTTCAAAATAATATTTTCTGCTGAAAAATGTGGAAAGATCAAGGCACATTTGATAAATCAGATGAAATAATAGGGAAAGTGGTTTGTTGAATATCTTTGGAATTTGGTGAAAAATCAAGATTAATAATATCACGCATGTTTAGTATGATACAAATATTCATTTTACATTACATTTGATGTACTTGATTACCATTAAAAGTAGTTAAATGTTTTAACCCTTTACTCCCGAAAGTGCTTATTCAAAACCTACGAACCAGTTCACTACTGAAATGAAACGTATCACACACTGCTATAGTAATACTATATAGATAAAAAAAAGCAGTTGTTCTTTCATAAAGACATACCATGTCCACACTTTTGTGGACATTCGGTGGAGGGGGGGGGGGGGGGGGAAGAACATGAATTTAACCCTTTTTTCAAATTTTTGTTTTTGATGTTTTTGAAATCAAGTAATAAATTCTATTGTTTACTAATAAAAAGAAAGCAAATAGAGTACGACCGTCATAGTTTTGAGATGTTATGCAGAAAAAGAAAGGAAAAAAAGCTAAAAAGGTGTAAACTTTATCTAAATATTTTATTTTGTGCATTTGAGAGTGACAGACTATATTCTTAGACAGGGTACAACTGCAGCATAACGACACCGTGGCACCCACACTCCTTGATGTGCCCTAGTCAATTAAACATATGAGTGTAGGTGTTGCTCTTCTGCAGTTGAACCCGTAGTTTTTGGTCAAAACATGATTAAATATTCCAAAATCGCTGTTAATGTTATTCTCTAGAAAAATTTCATTGACACAAAAACAATCATTTTCATGTCATTCCCCCCCCCCCCCCCCGAATTTCCACACCTGTGGACATTGTATTGTCACGTATATCTTTTAGCTAGAAATTCATGCATAATTTTTCTTAGTTATCTGATACAACTGACGAACACTCACTCTATCGATATCCGTACTAGAACAAAGAAAAGATTTTAGATCCTAGAGTGTGCAGCGATTTCAAAATTGCGCCCTCTACTCTCAGAAATTCTCATTTTTGTAATTTTATAATCTCAGCCTAAGGTTAAAGAAACGCAGAGCTTTTTTAACCAACTAATAGCTCTCGAAATCCTCCACAACTAACAATGAACTAGCATTCAATCAAATAGTCCGTTCTCTTTTACTGATGATTTTGCTAATGTCCACATCTGTGGACATTCGGGGATGAAGGATCAATACATTAACAATATAATTGCTTATTTAATTAAGTCCCATCATTCGTAGACGAATAAAGAAAGACTATAGAGAATCTATGAATATATTCTTTGCTACTTAAGACATCTTTTGATGGTTTATTTTGTTTGTGTTACACCCATATACACTGATCTGAAAAATCTCTCAAATGTCTACGAATGTAAAAAACAAAAACGCGTATTCAAAAAAAACTTTTCAAAACCACATCAATTTCGATAAGAACCGAGCCGATGAGTTGGCTTGGTTCAATTCAGAAACCGAACTATGCCCATCTCTGACTCACCTGCACCCAATCCTTTAAAAGTGTGGAAAAAACATCAACACAGAAGTTTAATTGAGCCAAATTAGAAAATACTAGATTTATTTACTCTTCCCTCTATCATGCATTATCAGATCACTCCAGAACAGAATTTTTCCATTATAACTCGTTCTGGTCATGTAGAAACAGATGACTGCAATGCTATAGGCCATCAAAGTCGATAAAGCATGACTGATGTGTCTCATGTTTGACGAGAACTTTTAAAAGTTAAAATAATAAATCCTTTCAAGTTAGATCAATTTGATTAACTTTTCATTTTTTTTCTTCTGGATAGAATAAGTTCTCTCAAAATCGTCTGTAATAAGATAATTTCTCAATAATGTGCGACGTAGTGTTGATAAAGTAGTTCCGCATGAGTTGAACTAGAAAAACTCATTTACTTGTCAACTTACGAGTTTCTTCCGGTTTCTTTCGTGTCATTGATGGACCCTTAATAAAAATTGAAATATATTGATGATATCTGAAGTCTTATCCAACATAGAGAATCTACTCACTGCTTCTGTTGGTGATGCATATATGTTTATTATAATGATCATTGAAAAAATCATCATGTTGAATACAGCGATGATCATTGCTGTTGGTATGGTGTTTAGTCAACTAGAGGTAACTCATTTTCATCTACTATTTATATAAGCAACGCTGTCGTCGGATGTAAAATGAGAAATTTCCAAGCCAATCATATGCGTTATTAAGAGATGATTGATCTTAATTACAATTTAATAATCGAACGTATTAATAAACATGTTTTTCTTGCCTGCGTCATGCAATTAATGATGCATTAACACCGAGAAAGGCTATGTTGGAAATTTCAAAAGTAAGCAGGTGCATGATTCAGAGATGGTCAATGATAAGTATAATGAGGCAATATGAAAAATAATCATAGATACTTACTTCATCGATGCATGACGAAGAGTTGGCTTTAAGCTGATGTGATGTTTATTCATAATCAAAAAACACGGAAGAAACTTTCAGTTCTCAATATATAGAAATAAAAAAATTAGAATAAGTTACATTAGTTGATTATTTATAAATGCTTATACTGACTAAATGACATGTCAATAGATCGAATTCGCAGAAACATTTTCGAAATGGAAAAACAATGAAACAATAGCTCTATATAGATGAAAATCAGATAGTTTGGTTTTTGAGGTAAAAGATGATCATAAGCGAACTTCAACAAATACTTCTTCTCATTATATATATCTCTAATGTTTCACATAAATGATTCATTGGGATTGACCTTGATTCTCATGCATTTTTTTTCTAAAAATGTAACTGAAAACTCGTGGAAATTTTCTGAAGTGATAGATATGTCTCATTTTGTGAGGAACTATTTGATTAAAATTAACTTTTGACAAAAAAAAAGAAAATAAATAATTTATTCTTATTTAGGTTTTTCTAAAGATTCAGAATAAATATTCATATATTTAATAATGATATATTTTGTTTTGCTTAGATGATGGATATGTGTAATTAGGAGTGACATTTGTAATGGGCTCACTAATAAATTAATTGAAAATATTTTTTCTTTCGTTCTGTTATTTCCTTTTCACGCCTACATTCTCGAAAATGATCATTTATGATGAAATAAAATATAACGTATGAGGTCTCTCATGTCTTAGGACCTGTTAGTGCTGCAAAACCAAATAGAGTTAACCACCGATGCTTGCGCAAAACGGAGTATTGCTTATGAAATATTTTCTTCAACATTATTTGATTAATGATCATTAAAACGAATGCCTATCTTTTCATACTTTTTGACAGAAACAAATTACATAAAAAATTGTTTTTTTTTTCATTTCAGTTGTATTACATAATGCTTCATGAAATCGTAAAAATCTAACAAATCTTTTCGTTAGACGAAAAGGAAAAGGTCCGCACAATTCATACACAAAAAATAATTCTTCAGTTTTCATCTTGTATAATATGATCATTTACCGAGTTGAATTTCGACAGAAGATGGGTAAAGAGTCTGCCGAAAAAAATGTTTACATTTTTAACGATTCTTTTATAATTCTTTGTAAGTAATGAAGCTCAAAGTTGTACGGTATAACTCTGGAATCGTTGTAGGGTTAGATGTGTGGCTGTGGATGCAGGCGTACGGTTGAGGAAGTAAGCAAATGGCTCTGAGTGTGAGTGTTTATCTTTCCTCGAATTTTAGTGACACTCATATGGATATTAATCCACACCCATTTCGAGTCTTTCTTTCTGATATTGTCTATTATAGTTTCTTTTGCTACTATTAAATAAATTTACTTCATTAAGACTAACTTTTGACATAAATACACAATAAATAATTTATTCTTATTGTATTATCGAACAGATTCAGAACATACATATTTAATGGTGATTTACTTTGTGTGGCCTTAATAAGATGTATGATAAGAGATAATAAACTATATCTACTAATCATAAAATTAATTTAAAAAAAAACATTTTCTTTCGTTCTCTCACTTCCTTTTTCACCTGTCTATTCGCTGAAATGATCATTTATGAAGACATCAAATTCAAGCTACGACGTCTATTAAGTTTTATAACCAATTAGTCTTTCTCAACCATATACGTTTAATGACTGATGCTTAAATCAATATGAAACAGGTCGGCCTATACTTCTAAAATACAAAGCAATCTGCTACTCTTAACTTTTGCTTTTCAGCGACCGATTTTCTATGTCAAATATTGAATACTTAATAAATGTGCTTGAATTAGAATTTCTTTAAAAAATTAATGCAGAGTTAATTTTGCCGACGCGTTTCGTGTTATTTATTAAAATATTAAAACACTCATCAGGGCTCTGCGGGTGTGGGTGCGAGTGTGGGTGTGGGTGTGGGTGCGAGTGTGGGTGTGGGTGTGGAGTGCGGGTGTGGGGTGTGGGTGTGGGTGGGGTGTGTGGGTGTGGGGTGTGGGTGTTGGAGTGGGGTGGGTGTGGTGGGTGTGGGTGTGGGCGTGT